GGGGGGGGGGGGGGGCCGCAGACCCACAGGAAAAATCAGCCGGGGGCTGCACACAAGGGAGAAGCCAAAAAAAACCACCCCAAACCCTCACTGACATGGCCCTTGACTGTGAAGAAGAAACACCCTCCCCACGTTCCCCTCCCCCACCAGAACCTAGGGGGGCCTAGGCTAACAGATGTAGGCGCATGCTCCCCAAGACTAGGAGGGGAGTCCTGAGCCTCGGGGGCCGGATCCAGGCAAACCGAGGGCTGCTGGGCTGAGGTTCCCCACCCCTGGTGTAAACCCTGCATATGGTGGAATTCATGTTAAGACACCTCTTTTTGCAGCACCCATGCCCTCAGCCCCATCCCCTGGCACCAGTCACACCAGCAGCCCTGACTCCTGTGCGTACAGCCAGCGAGAAGGGCACGGCTGGCGCTTATTCCTGGGAAGCCAGATGATAGCTGGGAGCGAAGGGATCAGAAATGCACAGACAGGGGGGTAGTTTAGCTACTGTAGCAAGATACGCTAGTTCATGGGTTCCCAAACTGGGGGGTGTGAAGAAATTCCAGAGGAGGTGAAAGATGACCCAGCCCCCCCCATCAAACCTCCCCCCAAGTTTTGCTGATATGAGCTAGATGGTGGTATGAAATGCATGGGAGCATGTTGCCTGCCCGGCGTGCTATCATTCCCTGCCACTGCTCTTCGGTGGGAGAGCCCGGATTCAGGAAAAGTGCGTTACCTCTGGCTAAACTTTTATCCACTTGTTCAACTCCAGCGGGCGGGAATGGAACTTACACACGGGCTTCCCTGTTTGCCCGAATCAAGGCCTAGCAGGGAAGTTCACTTTGCTGCACACAGGTCAAAGGGGAGCTCTTTGCTCCCTCACGCCTCCCCCCGAATGCCACAAGCTGTTGGTGCCGGTTAGACCGGGCCTGGGAACAGCTTGTATTATTGGCCAAGAACAACAATGGGAAATTCACAGCGTGCGGTGGCGATGATGCTGAAACTCCCAGGCAGATGTTTCCCGGCGTCGTCAGGAGGCTGTACGGTTCCCCAAGCAGATGCGGTAACATCACCGGGGCTGTGAACCAACAGCCTCATTTGGAGCCGTCTAAGCAACTGAGCTGCGTGTGTGCATTTCCAGGCAGGAGGGCAGAAAGCCAGGGTTCGGGGGCCAGAACGGGGAGCGGGAGAGCCTGGGACCAGAAATGACAGGTGAAATCCTGGCTCTTCCAGATCTAATGGCCAGACCCCCATGGCTTTCACAGGGGCCAGGACATCACCCTCGCATGCTAGCCCTGGCGGGGGAGCAGGAAACCTCCCCCGGTGACCTGACTGTTACCCGCATTGTGTAATCTTCCCCCGTCTGCAGGCAGGGAGACTGAAATAGCAAAGAGCTGAGAGGCCCAGTGCACAGAAGCCGCCAGGCATGTCTGTGAGCTTGCTACGTGGGGAAGGGGTTCCCCTTCCCTCTGCTTGTTGACTGCAGTGGGGGTGTGGGTTTTACCCTGTGTACAGAACTCATGGGGCAGGCGGAGTTCCCCCCCTTCCTACCTCCCCCATCCCATCCATGCCCCTGGAGCAGCAGATGCAAATGGAGGGAGAAATTCCAACCCAGCAGATTAGTAGAGCGCCCACCGTGGATGGTGCACGGGAGCGTGCCTGGGTGCACATAACAACGTATTCCGCACACGGAGGGAAAAGACTGCTTCTGGCTAGTGACCTATGGCTGGATTTGTCAAGAGTTCATGGAAAGACCCTGCCCGGACTCCAGGGTCAACACCTGGGATAGCCTGAGCCCAGGAATTCCAGCTTGGCCGGTGCTGGGTTTAGAATGACTGACTCTCGGAGCTGTGTTCCTCTTCCGCAGGAGGGAAGACTGAGAGAACTGGGCTGTTGTTTAGAAAAGAGAAGACGAG